TGAAAGAATTTTCATTAAATGTTAGTACTATACTTGTTTTAAATCTTTGTCTTATTCTATTACGTTTTTAAGTTGTTACAAATACTGGCAGTGAGGACAAAAAGGGCAGGATTCTTATGCCTCCTTTAATGCTTCCAGAAGAATCTGCCCAGAATTTTAGTCTGCTTCCCCACTGACATATTAAATATCTCCACTAATGCATCTGTGCGAGTTTGATCAATTTGAAGCGTGAAGAGTTTTTGACATCATGAATTAACATGTAGTGAGGAGGCGCTCTAGTTGAAAAATTCAGCACTCTCAAGCTCTGTCAATACCCCAGGAGAGCACTAAAATAATTGTATATTCTATCAGATTGACTTTACCTAAATTATGTTGTTTATGTGTTTTGCATGATGGAATGGCTTCAAAGCTGTGAGTGATCCCCCACAATTCCTTTCACCTTCCTATAGCTTCACTTGATAGCACAGCACTCACCTGGCCAGACCGAGGCTGTGCTCCACACCTCGCAGCCCTGTGGCAGTGGTCTCCAGGTGCTCATGGGAAAACATAGCAGTGGGAGCCATGATGCAGATTCACAAGCAGGTCCCCAGCCACAGAGACAAGTGGGCTCCCCACACCAGCTTTTTCCTTTTGGTTGGCTGAACACCAGTAAGGGAGTGACAGATTGATCCATGGTGGACCATGAAGATGGCCTGCAGCATGCCCGGGTGGCTAGAGCTGGGTCCCTGCGTCCAGAGGCACCGCATTGGCCTGATTCTGGCTGTATGTCAGAGAGAAGCTTCCATCTTGCTTAAGCCACTGTTGCATTGAGGCTCTGTACTGCAGTAGCAAAACCTATTCTAAGTGATTGAAAAGCTATGTGACATTTAATTTTAAAATTTAGAAATAAAACAAATTGTTTTATTTGTTCCATCGGTGAGGCAGCCAGTGTAGGGACAGTTGTGTGTGTGTCACATGAATGCATTTTAGGAGTGGTTCTAGCTGGGAGCTCACATCATAGCAGTTACAGAACAGTGAACTCCTTTCCTGGATGTTTTTTACATTACCCATTTAACCTCCTAAGTACTTCCGTCAGTTAGGTATTATGAAGGTCCACAGCTAGTGAGTCTTGGAGCAGCTGTTCAAACACAGATTTCTTGGATATCAAAACATATTTTCCTGTCATATGATTTTCAAGTCATTTAGTGAGATGCTATAACTATATGAATACCTAAGCAACAACACATACAAAATCATTTCAAATAAGTCTTATCTTGAGTTTTATATTCTTATACAGTAAGTCCCTGATTTATGAACATTTGAATTGCAAACTTTCTCAGATACAAAGGGACCTCTTTTCCTAGTTTAAACAAGCACAGCTATTTATTATAATAAGAAGAACCCAGCTTTGTTTAGATCAGCCATTGACTTTCCATTTAGATATCTGAGAGTGAAATGTTACAAATATTAAAATGGGTTTTATCTCCTGATATAAAGCTTGCACAACCATATAGAGTTATTTCGTTGATTTTTTTCTCTTGATCATCAAGGCCCTTGATTGTTACTTTTTCTCTACCCAACCTTTTCATTACCATAATATTTTGTGATAACTTCACTGGTTTCTTCCTGCCCAACATCAGTCCTTAAAACCCCTTCTCTTGCTACCTTCACTGTTAAAACTGGGAAGGCCTAATGTCAACATTTTTAAACACACTTGCAGCCAGATGTGTTCATGTGGGAAAGTTTCAGACATTGAGATGCAGGAGACATCTCTAGAGAGTTTTCTTTTCTGATTAAAAGAACATGAATAGATCTAACTGGTCAACAGTAGCTCCAGTTATATCCCCTGGGCCACCTTCTCCATCTTCCTGGCTATGGAATATGAAACCTGGAGCCACAGTGATAATCTTGAAACCATAGGACCACAATTCTCTACCCTGCTGAAGTACTATCTCAGATTTCACCCTTTGTTTCCATGATTAAATCATGTGTAATATCAAATGTATTGCCTTTAGAAGTCAAAATATTTATTTTACCACCAATACACTGTGCAATTTTTTGTACCTTGTTAATGACATCAGTAAAAGGAGACATTTTTAAAATATACTTTCCAGGATATTATGCAAATTAGAGATAAATTGTATAAAGCCTAGCACATTATTAGTACTTGACATATGGTATTACTGCTACTCATACTCCTGAGTCTGTTGCTGCATAGGTTTATCATATACCTACATTGCATAACCTTTCACATCACTCCAGTGATCTGAAGACTCCCCCAGCTACTTACATTGTATCACAGTTTCCTAAAATTCTTTTAAGATTGTCTCTCAACAGCATTATGCCCAGAAAGGAGCATCCCTCTTCCAAGAAAGGAGCAAATTTGACGTTGAAGGACCATAGCTCAGGGAATTCAGCTTTATATAATGAATGCCTTTGGTGGAGTAGGAGCTTATTTGTACTTTCTTAAACTTTTAATTTTAAGACAATTGTAGGGTCAGGAATTTACCTCAGTGGTTCCGCCACCTCCCTCGCAAGTGCAAGGACTGGAGTTCGATCCCTGGTACCAAAAAAAAAAGACAATTGTAGATTCACATGTACTTGTAGAACATAAAAAAGAGATTGTATGTTTTGGTAGCTTGTGTTTTTCAAGAAATTAGCCCATTTCATGTAAGTTGTCAAAGTAGATCATTTAGAATAGTTAATGGCACTGCCTAATTATCCTTTTGTTATCTGTAGGGTCTGTAGTGACATTCTTTGTGATGCTTGTAATCATCCCTCTCCTTTATTTCTTTCTCAGCCTTGTTAGAATTTTGTCAATTTTGCTGACCTTTCAAAGGAATCCCTTCTTTCTTACATTAATTGTTCTCTATTGTTTTTACACTTTAAAATTGTTTGATTTTAATTTGCTATACTTTACTGCCATTTTGTTCAATGTATTTTTAAAATTTCTCTTGTGTTTTTCCTCTGACTTGTGGACCACTTAAAAGTGGTTTTGCTTGGTTTCTAAATGTTTGGAGACTTTCCTATTCTGTTAAGGGTTTATAAAATGTCTCTGTGTGCTGAGAAAACATATTTTTGTAAGACTTAAATCTTTTTAAATTCACTGGCATTTGTTTTATGTACCAAAATATGGCCTACTTGGCTTCAGATCCATTGGCTTTTGAATGCGATGTGTATTCTGTGGTTGGATGGGATGGTCTATGTAATGTTTATTAGATGCTAATTGGTAAGATCATTAGATAATGATGTTTGGAGTATTCTGTGCTCTTGCTTATTTTCTATCAAGAAACTGGAATGTAAAATTCTTCAGTTACTGTGGACTTATCTATTTCTCCTTTCAATTTTGTCAGTTTTGCTCTACATATTTTGTAGTTTTGTTCTCTTGTATGTACATATTTAATATTACTATGTCTTCTTGGTGTGTTGACTCTTTTATCAATATATAATGTCCTTTTGGTATCCTGTAATTTTATTTGCTCTTTCATATTAATACAGATATTGTTGCTTTCCTTTGTAAAGCTTCCGTGTTATATCTTTTTTAAAAAACCTTTTACTTTTAACCTTCATGCTTTGGTATTTTGAAGTAAGTTTCTTAAAGAAAATATGTCTTTACATGATATATCTTAACCTACTCCACTACTATCTAGCTCTTCACGTGTGTGCTCAGACCCTTTATATTTAATGTAATCAATGATACGTTAGGGCTTTAGTCACTTTTTAAAATTTTATCTCTATTAATTTGTCTACATCTTACCTTCTTTTATGTCACTAAAACTTTTTAAAGAACTTTTTTATTTATCAGTGTACTTCAGGTGCATTTATACATCTCTTTTTTCCTTAAATTCTTTTATTGGTACATTTTAGGTATACAGTACATTTACATTTATCATTGGGTGCTTGTACCTGTACATGATGTATCTTGGTTTTTATTTTTTTCCCCATTACTTGTGCACCCTTCACCCCCTCCACCCTTCCCATTTACATAGACTTTGTTTCCATTTTTTTTTATTTTTTCATAATTTTTCCTTTCCCTTCTTTCCTTTCCCCTTCCCCCTCCCACCACCCGTACACCTTTGGATCTTTTCCTATTTCAAAGTATCATTTATTCATTATTAATCCTTTCAATCCTTATTTATACTTTCAGGTTCTCATACTAGAGAAACTATTTGGTATTTACACATGTGTGTCCTATTTATTTCACTTAAGAGTATGGCCTCAATATGCATCCATTCAGCTATACATATCTTTTTAATGATTGCTCTCTCTCTCTCTATATATATATATATATGTATATATACATATATATACATATATATACAAATATGTAGTCTATTATATTTTCATTTTACACTTTTTATCAAACTATATAAATTTTACCTCTAGTTCCTTTTTACCCATTCTCCCACTTAAAATGTACTGAACATTTAACATGTATCTGTGACACAATACAATTTTGAAATAATGACTTGTAACAACTTATTTCTCTGGTGATGAAACAACTGGATACTATATGAGTCCTTTCAAGTGCCTCAGATTGGGGAGACAGCATCAATATGGCTCTCTATATCTGCTGGGGTAAGATGAAGGTTCTCCTCTATTCAGTCACAAGAATAATGGAAGCTATTGAGATCACCCCATTCCTTACCCTTAAGTTGAAGAACCAGACTCATCATTTTATTGTTCCATTTAATTACCAGAATTTATTATTAAAAAAATTCAGTGCTATCATTAACATGTTATAATAGTATTTCAAGATTTACAAATATCTAAGTAAAGTTATAACTAGTCATCTAAAACCAAATTATTTTATTTCTTACATTAGTTTTTCTATTATCTCAGTAACTAGCTTTTTAAAGCAAAGACAAAATTTTGCATTATTTTTGAAAAATATCACTTTCATTATTACAAAAGATTACTTGATATTTACTTTAGCTAATACATTCTTATATATTGTACTAAGATGAGTTTCTATATAAATAACTGAACTAATGAAAAATTTCCTTTTCATTTGAAAACAGAATGATATTGAAGAACTTGATGGCATTCTTGCATCCATATTCAAACATGAGATACCATATTATGACTTCCAATCTCTTCAAAGTGAAATTTGCCCTCAAAATGAATGTGAGTATTTTTGAACTGAATCAATTTTTATTATATCATATTCCACTGTATGTGGTTCTTTAGTATATGCTATAGCCAAGAAGATAACTAGCTGATTAAATGCTTTAGACACCTCCTAACTTCTAAGGCAAGATTACACTAGTAAAATCTTCTGAAGGAAGACCAATTTAGTAATTTTCCCCCCACAGGATGTAAAAAGTGTTTACAATTTAGAAATTGGCAATTATACTTCTTGATTTTTATTCTAAGGAAACACTTGAATTTGTTTCTGATGGATATTATTCACCATATCATTGTTTATAATTATCCTAAAATAGAAACAACTTCATCTTTCAAAGATATGTGATTATTTAAATTTTAATGTAGTTATTAATGTAGCCATCAGTAATTAATTGTATGATAAATTTATTTGCCAGCTGAGGTGATGTTTCAATGTATGCTTAATTAAATAAAAGTAAATTATGTAGCAGTAGCATCTTATCTTCTGCTTAAAAAGTATAAACATAGCATATATTACACACATAAATTGGTAGTCTAAACAGGTATGTACTTAGCGTTCCCAGTAGTTATATTTTGGGCTTTATAATTTCAGGGAATACCTTTTTTATTTTACTGAATCTGTATTTTCTACAATAACTATGTATTATTTAGTGACTTATGAATATGAACAATCATATTTCCAAATGTTATAAGGCCAGTAGAATATTTTAGAAACTTTGTGTCTCTGCACAGTTTATTGGAATACAGCTTATAATCCATTTTTGTGCCCAGCACATGTGAACACTGCCATAACACTGAATGAGATGAGAAGTCTAGTGCTGGCATCTTAAGGACAAAGGGCAGTGTTTTTCTGTTTCCACACTGTCTGACACAGTTTTGCCATCAGGCTATCTGGCTGCAGGTCATTGAGAAGGAAAGAGTAACAACCAAAGACACTGACAATGTCAATTCACTCAAGGGGCAAGGAGTTTAACAAAGACGACAATCTCTGAGTGAGAAAAGTTAGTGATATGGGCATTTTGTATAAGTAATCTTGTGAGGTTAGTGAAAATTGACTTTTGTTTCCCATTTATATTTTAACAATACATAATTCCTTTACAAAATTAGATACTAGATTAGGATAGAAAAGGAGTGTGGCATAATTCCTGACCTAAGACAATTATAATATAATTGAGGAAATAAAATAATGTTTATATAATAATAGAAACAATGTGATAACCTTTTGGGATGTGATTGTATTGATAATAGAATTGTGGAGAACAGAGATATCACTTTTCAAGAGATGCTTCAGAAAGAAGGTGGAAATGTACCTAGCTCTTAAATGATGGGTAGAGACCTGATGAGGAGGAAGAAATGAGAAGCAAATTCTAGGCAAGGAAAATACATGCAAAGGTGTATGAAGATGACATTATGACACAACTTGTACCAAATTCTTGAGAACTATACTTGTATTTAATTCATGAAATTAGAGCTGAGTCAAGACAGAAAGGAATTGTTTTTCTCTCTCATTTGTACAAGTAAAGACTTCAAGACCCATTTGTCAGGGTTTCAACCTTGGTTCTTTACTATGCCTGCATCCTGCACTCACCTGCAGAGCTTGGGAAGCATCCAGGCCTCTGCCATACCTGCACCAATGAGGGAGGAATCTGGGCCAGGTGCAGTAGTGGTAGATTGAATGTTTCCCAGGCATTCAAGTTTACCAGGCCTGTCTTAATTTCTCATTGCTGAGACAAAAAACCTGGCACCCACAAGTTAAAGGAGAAAAAGGTTATTTCAGCTCATAGTTTGTAGAAGTTTCAGTTCATAGTTGTCTGGCTCCAAGGCAGGGTGGCATAGCAGAGGGGCATTCCAGAGGATAAACAGCCCATGGCAGGGCAGGCAGGAGGCAGTGAAGGAGCAAGTAGCAGCAGCAGCAGCAAGCCTGCCCCTTTTTTGTCCCTTTATATTCTACCCAGCTCCAAGTCTATGGATTGGTGCCACCCATACCCAGGGCAGGACTTCTGTTATCCACACCCTTAATCCTGATATCATACCTTTAATCCACATTCACATGCCCTAATTCAGCCACCTTTGAAACTCCCCTTCTATTACCACATGAGGCTTTGGGGGAACACCTAGATACAAGCCATAGCTTGGCCTTACATGCTTCAGTGTCATACAGGCCAACAAATTCATACTGAGTTTTTACATGGAGAAAATATTAGTTCTTTACAAAGGCTAGACAGTTGGTAGCTAAGGAAGTTTTAAATCACTATGAGAATTTGAAGATACTTCTCTATTTGATGAGGATTATATAAAAATTCAGCTCATTTTTGAATGTAGTGAGGCTGTTTTGTTTGGTCGATACCTTCCCACAAGTTTTAAAAATCACCAAAGTTGGTATCAGATCAGTGAAATTGAGGTGAGATGCACACATATTGAGAAATGTATGAATAGAAGCCAACAGTGCAAATTATGAACAGGTCCATGTAAATACAAGGGACAGGTTAATGGATGAGTCAAAAACACTGTGACAGATTAGGCTGAGAGTGGAAAGTGTCTGGGAAGATCTGAATCAGCAGGCACACATCACACAGAACAAATGAGACCCAAAAGTTCAACAAGCAGTTGTCTGCATTGGTCCTTATACACTTCCACACTCCGCTTATGAAACAGGAGAGGGGACAGAGCTGCAGCACCTGGCTTTGATAAACTGTCAGTTTCTTGTTCATTATATTTACATTATCGAGGTTTTCTAAATACCATAGCCCTGGCAGGGTTTTCTGTTGCTTGGAATTCTAAATAGAATTCTGTGTCCACTGTTTTGACAGAACAGAAAGAGGGACACTTCACACGTTCCATATTGGTTCCCCTATCAGAGAAAAAGATAATTTCAAAAACCCAGAAATGCTGTATTTTAAAGATCCATGAAAATACTAACATTTTATAAGATTCCAAATCCTATTGAGAAAGGAGTGGAAATCATTACTTTTCCTCAACCTTTAGAAACACCTTCCTTCTTCTTTAATTGTTCTTTGGCTACCACCCAGAGAGTCTGTTGGCAGAAGCCATCTGTGGCCAGGCATCTAGTGCAAAGGAAGACCAGAAATCCTGTCACTCTGATCCCAGCCACTCTTTTTTTAAGTGTAGAAACTGAGATCCAGGGAGGTGAGGGAAGCTTCCCAAGGCCACAGACTCCCTGGCTGCGCTGGGATGGAAATGCAGATCTCTTGATGCTGAGTCCTCTCTTCATTGTGTGCTTCCTTGTACTGTCCTAATGGGGCCTCCAGGTCACTCTACTCTGAGTGCATAATATTTAATATGCCTGATCGTAATGTGTAAGAACAGTGCTCAAGTACTTTTAGTTCTTATTATTTTACTATTAAATTTTTATTTAATTCTTGTATTTTGAACTTGCATATCTTCACCTTTTATCATTCTTCTAAACTAGATTAATCTTTTGAAAGCTTTGATTTGATTCTCCACTCTAATTAGTGGCCATCTCTTTCAGGAATTACCCTGAACAGCTTGTTTAAAGACAGTTCTATGCAAACAAGTATATGACAGTTTCCTTTCTGTCCGCCAACTCATCTGTTTATTTTTATTCATGAAAGTGCTAAAGTCGGCTTTTCTTTGAAAAATTTCCTGCACACATTTTCTTCTCTTCTTTTGAAATTGCCATTTGACAATATTGGTGAAACAAACCCCTGAAAACTGAAAATGTATGTTGTCTGGAATAAAAAGCAAATTTCCCATATCTTTGTCAATTTACACCTTAATAATAAAAACAAATGCAATATGTCTTAATTAATTAAATGAAAATTCCCAGAAAAGGAAGCAGACATATACTGCAGATTAAGAGCACTCTAAAAGGTTCTTATATATATATTTTTTTAAATCTATTATTTGAAACTAACAAGTAAGACCAAAGTAAATGTAGTAAATTTAAGAAAGTGATTAAATAACTTATGAACTGAGAGGATTAAAAATTCCGATCCTGGCTAGGATGTTCAGCATCACAGGAGGCTGCTGATGATCTTCCAAGTCAGTTTCTTTTGTGAACCCAGCAGGAAACCAATGACAAAAGAAACAGAAATGAACTAAATTCCAGAAAGTGGCAGAACCTTCACAAGACAAAGAAGAATCTCTGCTTTCATCCCTAATGGAATAAGACAGAGAGAGCTCACTATGATGAGTAGAAAAAGAGGCTTAACACATAACCAGCTTTTAATACCTACATGTAGGCCAGTGTGCAATGAATCCTAATGAACCCAGTTACTAGGGCAGGATTGCACCACTCACTGAATGTCTTCTTCAACACATCGGTATGCCATTGGCTGCAGAAAGAGCAGGAAGCCTGAGAGATCTGCCCTGATAGCCAGCCAACCAGTGGCTGCTGGAGAACAGGTTTGTGGAGACAAAGTCCCCAATGCTTTCAGCACAGGAACAGCAGCAGCACTCAGGTTCTAGATACAGAGAGGCATGAAAGCTGCAGGGAATAATTTCCTCCATGCTATCATGACAGTAAGATGTCTACCTTAGCTGAGTGGGCTGGAGAGGTCTGGCAAAAACTGAGATATTTTGGTTGGAAGGAATCTGGAGGGAGGACAGGCAAAAGGAACTACCTGGGACCCCAAGAAAAGTGGGCAACCAGTCTGTAGAGCAATGGAGATCTCATGAGGGCTCAGAGCCCAACCTGTCCTGAGGAGAAACATATGATTCTGTCTGCAAAAGCCCTGAGGTCAGTTCCCAGGTGAATCTGAGTAACATCACAGAAAACAAACTCGGTTTATCTACAGATTAACTCAACTCAGCTCCTGCTGGAGTTGTCTGGATAGATGGAGGGGTATGCCTTATTGTGGGAATATTATTTACTCCAGTCCTTTAGTACAGTGCAAAACATATAGCAAGAAACCATAAATAGTGTCAGCTTTCACCCATCCTCATAAAAGACTTGATAATTGCTGTCCTATTGCACCCCACGCAGAAGGGACAAGTACATTCCTGTGGAAATATGCCATAATCTGCCCACAGTCTTCCAGTTTTAACATGTCTTTCAAGGGTAAAATGTTTTCTTACACTGAGTTCTTAATGTGTCTTGAAGGTGTGTTTGTTTATTTTGTTGCGTTAAAACATAAAAATCAACCAACTAAACTAATTCAGTCTTGAAACACACAAGTTAATTAAAAACTTAATGTTTAATGCTATCTTTTTTTTCTTCGCCTTTCCTTTTTTTTCTGTCTAAAAAAATAGCAGAGCAGTAAATGAAGCCATGCATATTCAGTAGTTTTTCAAAAATGTTGCAAGGTGGCTATTTTCCATTGCTTTAGAATTGTGTTTAAAAGAACTGACTTTTTGCTTTGATGCTTTTGTTTCTCTTGCTGTGAGTCCTCACATTCTTGCCTCTAATAATACCACAGCTATTGAGTTCGTGTATAGTTTCTATCTTATTTTTACAGCTAGATGAGAAAGTGTAGAATAATTAACCATCACTCATCAGTGTGTGCTTTTTTTGATACTGAGGTAGCAGTTTACCTTCATCTTATGGTTTGGCGCTTAATATATGTCTTCCAACTTATAGTTATAGGTAATTATGAAGTTCAAAGTCTAAAACATTGATATTAAAGTTCTAAAATACTGATACAAATTTCTGTACTGAAGTTACAAATGAAAACAATGCTGAGGTTCCACCTCACTCTAGAAAGAATGGCTGCTCTCATGAAATCAACCAATAACAAATGCTGGCAGGGCTGTGGGGAAAGAGGAACCCTTCTCCATTGCTGGTGGGAGTGTCGACTGGTGCAACCACTGTGGAAATCAGTATGGAGATACCTCAAAGAACTAGGACTGGAAGTCCCATTTGACCCTGCTATTCCACTGCTGGGGATCTTCCCCAAAGAATTAAAAGAATCATACCACAGTGATATATGTGCGCCCATGTTCATAGCAGCGCAGTTTGTAATAGCTAAAACATGGAAACATCCCAAATGCCCATCAACTGGAGACTGGATAAAGAAAATGTGGTTTTTAAATAAAATGGAGTACTACTTGGCCATAAAAAATGAGAAATTAGAGACATTTATAGCTCAATGGATGCACATTGAGGAGATACTCTTAAGTGAAATAAATAGGACACACATGAATAAATACCGAATAGTTTCTCTGGTGTGAGAAACTGAAAGTGTAAATAAGGACTAAATGTATAATAGGTAATGTGAAATAGGAAGAAAAGGGGCAAAGGGGAAGGAAGTGGGAGGGCTAGGGGAAAGGATAGAAGGGAATGGGATTAATAGGAGAATGGAAAAATAGGAACAAAATCTTTGTAAATAGGGAGGACTGGAGGGGTTGAAGGGAGGGCTGGGCAAGGGTGAATAATAAGAACCAAGAGAGACTATGTAAAGGTGCAAATTTCCAAGGATGAATGTCATTATATTGTATACCTAAAATGTACCAATGATTAGAATGAATAATCGATAATGTAAAATAGGAAGAAAAGGTCCAAAGGGGTAGGGGTAGTGGGAGGGGCAGGGGAAAGGAAAGAAGGGAAAGGAAACATGATGAGAAATGGAAAAAATGGAAATAAAGTCTTTGTAAATAGGGAAGGGTGGAGGGCGTGAAGGGAGGGCTAGGAATGGGGAAAAAATAAGAACCAAGATGCATTATGTAAAGGTACAATTCCCAATGAGAAATGTAATTGTGTTGTATACCTACAATGTACCAATAAAAGAATTTAATACAAAAAAAATAAAAATAAAAGTGCTCACCTGTGTTTTTGAAAGAGAGATTTCATGTTGAAATCTACTATAACCCCTTCAAAAATTTCATCTTCATGTAAAATTCAGAAGGAACCAAACTAGGCATGGCAATAAAAAACACAAAATGGTTTTGTAGATGAATCTGTAGGATTTTTATACTTAGTTCAGCTAATATGGTGATCCACTCAAAAGGCATAATTACAGCATAATGTTTTTATTTTGCTATATATTTAAGAGGCTGGTGTGGCTTTCTAAATCAAACTTACCCCATAAATAAGATGGTTATTAATGAGAATAGTGGTTTATATATATATATATATTGGTAACGGGGATCGAACTTGGGTCCTTGTGCTTGAGAGGCAGGCGGCGGAACCACTGAGCTAAATCCCTGGCCCAGTTTATATTTATTTTAAGATGAAAAGTACAGGGAAAAGATTCCACATTGCTAAAACCACTGAAGGTTTCTTATATGCAAATATATACTAAAGTCTGCTCTGCTTGGTGGTGATTATTTTAGGTCTAGATTCTGCTTGACTTTTTATGGAAATGCAGGTATAATAAAAGCATATTAAATCCTATTATTTCCTATGCTTTCAGATATGCATATCAACGAACTCCCAACTCTCCTCCACTGTGCTGCAAAGTTTGGCTTAAAGAACCTGGCTCTTCATCTGCTTCAATGTTCAGGAGCGAACTGGGCATCAAAGATGAAAAATACAAGTGGAGCAGATCCAGCTCACATTGCTAAAAAGTACGGGCATGAAGAACTCAAGAAAATCTTTGAAGACTTTTCAGTAAGTTTTCTCTTACTATACCTCAAAAACTCTTTATGAAGTATGTGTGTGTGCACATGTTTCTCTTTTTTGTTCAATAATACTATTGCACAACTAGTTCATAGGGTCCATTGGTCCTGGGTTGTCCATTGTGTTAAAAGACATTTTGCTAATTAATCAATTTGTTCTATTATTGCCATAGTCCAGCTCTGACTTCCACCCCTAAACATCCATGTTTGAAATTTACCTGGTATTTCTGGTTTCTGAAACACCTGTTTGGTATTGAAAAAGTGATAGGAAGAAAGCAATATGCCTACTTCCTTTACCCCTTTTTTTAAGAGTCTAGATAAGACATCAGTAGGCACATGAAAACATCAATAATTACTAGGTTAGAGGAATGCATTTTGATAATCATTCAAAAAAGTCTACCCAATAAATAGTTAATTTATGTTGCTTAAATTTATTTCCCTTATGTTATTCCTTTTTCTCCATGCAAAATCTCAATTCCTTATTATTTGTGTTGAAACCCCAAATTTCAGAACACTGTGGTGGGTATGAGTTTTGTAAGAATGTAATGAAGAGAATATTTTAGAAGGAGAATATCTCAGTAAGTAAACACACTTATGTTCCCATAATCAATTTTAGAAAAGCAATTATTATTTTCTGTTGGTAAGAAAAGTATGCACATTTTTCTCAACAAAGTGAATTATACTGCTAATGGGTCTTCAGAAAGTATAGTAGATCAATGATTATGCTGGTGACTTTGTCAGAATTTATCTTTGGAGTCTCAGAACAGATACAATTATATTGCTGTTAAGCCGTTAATACACGACATTGAAATGCTATTAGCAACTTTGGGTTACTTGAACATTTACTTTGATTATCTGGTTAAGTTGATCTAATATACAACTTCCAAAACCACTGGTACTTGTAATTTTTAGACAGTGAAAAGACAATGAAACTCTGCATTTACAAGAAATAGCAAACTAGTAATCAAGAGACTATGGATATTAGCCACTCTCTGAAATTACAATAGTATATATTTTCTTCATATTTAAAATGAATACACAATCAAACATACAATGTTGTGATAAAATTATTTAAGTACTAATTTCTAGTTTATGTCCTTCAAGTCAGAAGTGAGCATTGTTTTTATTCCCGGGATGATGTTACACAGTGATTCTCCTATGTGCTAATGTTTAGTTGTTAAAGTTCATCTTATAAGCACTTTCATTTCAGTAATTTTCCTCTTGTAATGTGGCATCTCTCACAGATAAGTCAGTGAGTCTACCCAGCCTTGAACCTTTTCCCATAACACAGTCATTCAGTAGATCATGGTCCCCAACTCTTTAAACCCTAAATTTTAGCCACTGGTGGACTAAAAATTTTCCCTAGAAATCTCAGCAGCCAATAAGTTTTCTCTTACTTTCTAAGATAAACCCTGATTTTCAAAGAGTGCTTCCTCCACTTCTTGCCCACTAGTAAAGATAGACGAATCTGGCCCCATGTAAACCGTGAATGCCATAAACACAATACTACACAGTGGTGATGGTGGATATGAAAGAAAACAGGAGGGTAGGAGATGAAGATGGGTGGACATAGGAAATAATTTTTCTCCTGCATCCTCTGGGTATTTACACTTCTCCTGCTGTAGTCACAGCACCGACATGAGCTAATGGCTGTCACTGTCTCTAGGTGATTGTTCACTGTTCACAAGATCTTCATCCTGACTTTACCAAGCTCTACACAGACTTTATTCTGCAAAATTTGTTAAGTGATTTCATAAACTCCAACCTGAGCTGTTACATTTTTCCAGAATGTTTATTGTAGACGTTGGAGTTGTAGAGTAGCTAGATGTCCATCTGTGAGGTTCCTGCTGCCGGTGAGAAAGTGACCGTGCCTGCTGCAAGGGTCAGCGGATCTGTAAATGCATTTTAATGGCTGGTAATTGTAGGCATAGTAATTTTGCAAGCTATGAAAGGCCTTTTTGAAAATGTATGATTGAAAAATGAAAGCATACTAGTTCGCAACACTCGTAGAAGAGTTTCTTGTTGACCTACCTACCACACAAATCATTCTCCTAACTAGTAATTTTCTTTAAAATAAATCTAAAAGGGCCGGGGATTTAGCTCAGTAGTTCTGCTGCCTTCCTCGCAAGCACAAGGACCCGACTTTGATCCCCGGTACAAAAATAAATAAATTAATTTAATTTAATTTAATTAATTTAAAAGTCCTATCTTCTTCATGAAGGTATTCCAGATAAACACCTGTTGTACTAGCTGTTCTAAGTTATGGAAATAATGTCTTTTTAAGAGTATATATAAATCTAAAAGAGAAAAACTGTGAAACCTCATTATGCTGCTAAATACTTTATTGTTTCTTTAGTGGTATTTATATTAACATAGTTTTAATGTTCTAAGCACACCTGAAAATCAAAGATTTTCATGTATGCATTCAAATTTTCTGTGAACCATTCTTTCAGAAGTGCTGAAAGAAGTAGATCTCTTTCAAGTTTGAAGTTTGCAATCCACCAGTGGACCACACCATTTTTGCTGAGGAAGTATTTGTTTTTAGTCTCAAGCCCATTTTGCCCCTGACTTAGTGATTTCTTCAATTCTTCCTAAGCTCCCACTAGTGAAGCATTGTTCATCTTAGGGCCTCACATTATAATTCAGTGAGTCGGGTCATAATAAAGTGAGTGGAAAGAAAGACACAGTTGCAGTTTTTGAAAAATACAGAAAAAAACTTTATCAAGTGTTCATAAACCAAGTGGCACCCGCAGATAGTATGAGCCATGCTTTGTATCACTTACCTTTGAGAACTTAATAATTTATTTGTAGTTTGTGAGCAGAGCCTGTTCATGGTAATACCTTTCATGTTTGACATAGTTTCTAAATACCACTCATACTTCCTTCATGGATTTGCTATTATGACCAAATGATACCATATATTCCTAGAATCTATAGAAGCTTTCAAGTGTGTACTCACTTTTCATTTTCTCACAATGTCCTCTCTGAGAACCAATATAGATGGACAAAGAGCGAAATTTAAATATACAGCTGAGCATAGCACAATTTGGTTAATAGAATTATTGAGGAAAGCCCAGGCAATTTCAAATAGCAACACTGATGATTAAGTTGTCTCTTTATAATTTTATTTATTTATTTATTTTGGTACTGGGGATCAAACTCGGGTCTTTGCACTTGCGAGGCAGGCAGCAAAAATTTATTTTTTAAATTAAAACTGTAAAGAAATTAGAACTGTAAAGAAATTAGAAATTGGCTCAGGATTAAAAGGTACAAAGAGATTTAAGATAAAGCATAGAACATCCATTCTTTATGTGTTTTAAGCAAATAATATGAGTGCTATGTCCTTGATTTGTCTTAAGTATGTCACCCCACCATCTCACCTTGGTTTAAAATGCTGCACAGAAAGAGAGCATCCATGTGTAAATACAGAAGGAAGCTACATCCTCCTCTGTACTGACTTCTCTGGGAAACAATATTCAGAAAATATCTTTTTCTTCTACTCCTGTAACAATGTGAGTATTGATATTAATGGTAAAGATTCTTCAAGAAAATTTAAAACATAGGAAAAGCCATTTTCTGTATCCTTTCACTAGCTGGCTTTCGAGAGACCTCCTGGCTGGGGCTTTTCTGTTGCTCACATCTATAAGGGATTCTTGAGACTTGCACTGTCCTTGAGGTACCTTGCATTTGTCTTTGTCCCAGGGAAGGGGGAGGTTGTTGCCCCCAGCATCTTACTGATCTTTTCCAGATGGTCAAGGGCTGAAGCCTGGGGGTGAAGCAGACACTGAAGGACTCCCATAACCCTAATATAAAGTGATAATTGACTAACTGGTACCCAGACCTATTGCCCGGAAGTTGGGCCTGTTGAGCACTCCCTCGTCCTGGCCCTTCCTTTCTCCCATCCTCAGCATTGCTTGCCTGTGCTTTGTGTTCAGGGCCGTACCCGCCATCCCATACAGTGCATGATGGTGTTACACATGGAGTGTGGACAGCACATATGTTGACCCAGTGAGTTCTCATCCATTTGTAAGCCCCGGTGAATATCGGGCTGCCCTCCCCTCTCCTGGGCTCAGTCTCCCTTCAGTCCTTGAAGGCTCAGAAGCAAGTGTTCAACTTAAGGGTCTGTTTGCTCTTGCTCTCTTAACCAGGTTTCATATTGTAAATAAAATAAGTGGTCATACTGTCTATATTCTTTATTTTTTAAAGGTTTGGTTTTTGGGAATTCATGGACAAACAGCCCAACTGCTGTCTTTAGCATGCATTTTTAATAGGCCGGACTACAATGTGTGTTAGAATTCTGGTTTGTGCTCAGTACTGATGTTCTGTTAGGACCAGAGGAACTGGAGCAAGTTATATAACTGCCCTTGGTGGGTATATTACAAATTCATGTCTCCGTTATGCCGCAGGAGCTGCCTAGCAGTGTCTTCTAAAATCCCATTAAAGGCACCGTGGTGGCTGTTACAGAATTATTCTATACCCTGGTCCTCAGACCCAGTTTTGATACCTTTACTTGGAAGCTCTACATGTGCTCTGTCGACTCCTTTTTTCCTTGTCAAATTTTCTTTGTCCTCTTGCATAGAGCTTTGCACTCAGACACTTCTGGATTTTCAGCCTAGCTTCATTGAAAACCAAATTTGCATCTTTAGGAAAAATAATTCTTTACAGGATATTATTAGGATTTGATATAATTGACAGGAAAGCATTAAATTTAAAGAAGATTCATAAAAATGATATTATATTCACCTTATTTTCTTTTGATTTTTTGTTAGTCGTATCTACCTTCAATCTCACCATCATTCATCCACACCCTTTTTTTGTGTCATTCGTCTCTATGATTATACCCTCTTCCCTCAATATACATGTTCAAGGTACACACACATACACACACATACACTTTATATATGAATATTATTTAGATATACATAAATATGTTTTGCATAGGCATATATTTTTGCTTTATATATACGTATTATTATTTATGATAAGCACTTT